GATCAAAGACATAAAGACATGACTGTAAGCTCACAGTCTGACCCAGTAATAATATGTTTGGTGATTTACACTTAAAGACGTTGAGGTTAAAATACGGTAGATTTTAAAATGCTGGACATCTATTTGTATCTTGACTCAACAGCATTCAGTGACTTTATTTCAGCTACAAATGTAGTAAATTTAAATTTCACTGGTGAAATGTGAGACATACCTGAAATATAGCAGCCCACTGATCAAACCACCACATGCAAGTCTAACTTGATGGTTATGTCTTTGTTGACCTTGTTTCTTGAGGCACTGTTGTTAGCCAGGTTTCCAGAGGTCGCCTCTGCCACAGTAGACTCTAAGATCCTCCTGCAGTCACACAAGAGGTGCTCCTGAGCCCCAGGGTACAGGACCTTGAAGGCAACAAAGCAGTCCCTAAAGCATTAAAGGGGAACATCGTGGTCAATATTTGTGAGCATGAGTTGGTCTCTTTAAGTTTTTTTAACAGTTTTAACATCTGATCAACTATGTGCGTCATATGACTACGACCTGGCACCTTTTCCTGATATTTGCAGAATCTCAGCAGAATAATGTTGGTAGAAATGTAGATTAAATAGGCTGTGTTGCCATCACTATGACGAACAAATATGGAATGTGGTTCCACACAGTTTCTTGCATTTTTTGGGCCAAAAATGGCTCTTATGATAGTAAACGTTGCTTCCCCAATTTACTGTTTGTCCCTGATTGCAGCATGAATACGGAGTTTCTGTAGTGTAGTGGTTATCACGTTCGCCTCACACGCGAAAGGTCCCCGGTTCGAAACCGGGCGGAAACAATGGCTTATTTTCGTTACTCATACGTCACAACACATCAAATCACCAACCAACTTCATAAAACATAAAGGCATTTTCTGACGTTTCGTGATTCAAGTTGACTAACTGCCCAATAGTGGTGATGTTGAGAACTGTAACTTCTGATGTGTCTCTAAATGCTGCCTTCATGGGTAGTTTATGTGCGCTGCTGGTGTTTGGCACCATGCTGCAGCGCTGCTGAACCTTGTGAAGAGTTGTGATCTCTCTGTCTTTCACAATCTTCTCCACTGTGGGCTGGCTCAGTGACTCCTCCTGGGGGGAGCCACAGGTGGAGGGTTGAACCTAAGTGGCAGGGGTCAAGGTCACAACAGGCACAGTGGCTGTTTGGTTGCTTGTGGTTAAACTCTGCCAAATGCAAAGATCATATGATGCAGGAATCAGAAATCGATAGACTAGCAGTATCTCCGGTATGTTCAGTGTGTTGCATGTTAAATTCTTTCACTTAAATTATATATTATCAGTGTTATTCACTTCAGTTGCCAGTGTTTTTGATGTTTAGGCTGTGTAAAGTTAACAGTACTTTTTTCAAGACTAGTGCACTGTCCTTTGAGTGGTTTTGGTTTGTGTGTGACCTGTAAACAAGTCTGTACTTTTTGCAATAAATTCGATTTAGTGGCTCTAGTGTAAAGTAACTGGCAGCTTGCAAAACTCTGCTTTCAACACACTGCTACTAACTAACAAACTACATTTTGTATTTTCAACGTTATACAATGCTTTCCAGTTTTATGGCCTGTTGTGACCTGTTGACCATTGGGAAAGAGCTTGTTCAGTGTTTGCTCAGTGTTATACATAAGTGTTTGAAATGTGCCTTAATTTTGATAATGAAAAGTTCATCGGTAGAAAAAGATTTCTGCACACTTACATGTATTCAGTGTTTCACATTGTTGTTGAGCTGTTAAGCGATGCTTTTCAGTTTTATGGCCTGTTGTTTAGGCTGATCACTGTATGTACATGTGTAAAGATAACAGCACTTTTTTCAAGATTAAGATCCATGTTTATAAAAGAACAGTGTAAAAAATGTTCATGAAGGTGACACATTTCGCTTTATGTCTGAGCTCTGTTTAGATCAGGGGTAGGCTCTTTAGCCCTTCTCTAGTGGCTCCCTGTGGATTTGACAAATAGATATATGAAAAAAAGCAGGTGTGTTACACACACTCCCTGATAAACCACTGCACGCAGTGAAACAAGTGTAACCTATTTGTATTTTTATATTATTTTCTTTGTATTATATTTTGTTATAATTGAATATCACATACAAATATGTGTTGTGGTTCCATACAGTGGCCACATCACCACGGAGTTTCCGTAGTGTAGTGGTTATCACGTTCGCCTAACACGCGAAAGGTCCCCGGTTCGAAACCGGGCGGAAACAAGTATTAGTTTTCGTTATTCACACGTTACAAAGAGGACATCACCAAAAAAGCTTCATAAAACATTAACGCGTTTTCTGGCGTTTCGTGATTGAAGTTGGTTAACCGTCGGTTGGTGGTGGTATAGAGATGTGTAATTTCCAAGGCGTCGCTAAACGCGGCCTACAGAGGTAGTTGACGTAAACGCTACTCGTGGATGGCGCCATGTTGCAGCGATGCAGAACCTCGTTAAGAGTTGTGGTCTCCGAAAACTTTACGAATACTTACTTTATCAACCGCCGGGGCGACCGGTTATCCTTCCGGTCTTTGGTAAGTGCTGATATTTAGCCTCTCTGTGTTTAAATACTTCTGTCCACCGCCGGCTGTGGTAAGCTAACGTTCCTCTGAGAGGAGGCTAAGTACCGTATTAACTGGCCCGTTTTACCTGAGCGCCCACAAGCTGCAGTTGCTACCACTGTGTTTGACTGACATCTTGTGATGAAGGATGTGTACTGTTTCATCACCAACTTACTACTTCTTATGATGCAGAGTGATCCATTATTTTCCCCTTTATTTTCCCACATTACGTGTATTGTGTATTTGTTTGCCCTATTTCACTGCTTACAACTGACTGAAATAATCAGGACTAAAAAACAGGCTTTTTGTGGCTGTGTGGTAAATATCCTGGATGTTTAGTGTACATGTATGTACTTTATACCAGTTAGAATCTGTCCTGACAGTAGTAGTAGTAGTAGTAGTAGTTGTTGTTGTTGTAGTAGTATTTAATCAAAGATGTGTACTCTGCTGCACTCAGGCAAACAAGCATGTGAAGATGAAATAAGTTGATTTTGCTCCCATTTTTCACAGGTTTAAATTAAAGATTTATTACTTTTAGTTCAGATGTTTTCAAAACAGGTTTATATTACTCAAAGTAAGGTATCAAATAAAGTATTGTTAGTCTAGAAAATAATCTAGATAATATAGTCTGATATCATGTGTTGCAGTTCCATACAGATTTTTAACACAAAATAATAGATAAAAATATATAAAATTAAAAAGGGATGATAATTTTATGATTATATGATTGTATAAAAGTCACATATTTTTAAGTTAACATTTTCAGTGGAGGGATTTTATTTGTAACAGAGTGTTTTAACAGTGTGATATTAATACTTTTACCCAAGTAAATGATCTAAATGGATTCCTCTGCCTCTGAGCATGTGTTAGGATGAAGGAGGTTGTTGGGGTCAGTGCTTGTCTCTGCACCATGTCAGCTTAGTGTGCATCCCCCTGCTTCAAAATGTCTTTAGCTCCATGATGTTTGTATAGCATACCAAGACAACGGCACATCTTCTTAGCTACTTTACAGGTGTGATCTGGCCTCAGTTCCTGTCCAAAGGTTCCCTGCAGCAGCAGAGTGAGGGGCTACTCCTAATACTGATACTCTCAGACCAGGAAGTCGACCAGGTTGTGCTGCAGAGAGGAACTGGCAAAAAGAGCGGTAGAGTTCCAACAAAGAGCTAACAAAAGTTCCATCTAAACAATCATTATCAGTTTAAGTGGATGCTATATTGAGAGTGTTTTAATCACTTTACCTTTCCATCAGACAGCCCGTTCCGACAGGAGAGCTGTGAACGACTTGAGTTGTAAAGTTTAAAAACAAATATGTGGTTGATTTTTCAGCATGACCATGTGTGAGTTTACAACCATAGTGAAGATAACTTAAGCATAAGAACTCCCCGTCGGGGAATCGAACCCCGGTCTTCCGCGTGACAGGCGGAGATACTGTCCACTATACTAACGAGGAAGTCAAGAAGAGCTACATGATGCCGGGAAGAGACACCGATAGGTGAACTTTCCCTTTGATATGATACATACACTCTGGTCGTTAGCTAACGTTAGCAACAAACTTGAGAACTTGTCGATGCTAAATGTTGCCGGCTAACTCTTTTTTCCCCTTTAAGGACGGTGGCCTTGTGGGTAACTCGTGAGGGTGTGACGTGTACATCAGTGTGTGTATGGAGGGAATACAGAGTGGTGATAGTCAACAGAATTAAGTGTCTAAATAAGCTCAGGGCTGCGGTTAAACCTCATTAGGTGGCCATGTTTGTTGTAGTGAACGGCATCTGAACGCCTCGCCGTCCTTCCCTCCACAGAGTGGTCCGGACCGCTAGAAGCTAGCTACCAGCTAGCTACTAGCTAACAACGAGCCATGGTAATTTAATGTTAATGAGCCAGCTGAATCTCAATGTTATATGATCCTTGTTATACTACCAGCGTATCGATTACTTATACCTGAGTCACATGATAAATTGTAGCCTTCCTAGTTAGTATAGTGGAAAGTATCTCCGCCTGTCACGCGGAAGAACGGGGTTCGATTCCCCGACGGGGAGTTCTTTTGGTTTTCTTCATTATGGTCTTAATTCACACTTTGCTGTGCTAAAATACTGACGAAAATTTTGTATTGAGCGAATCTCTTTGTGTCGTCGTGACCAGCGTTATTTATATGATAGGTTTACAACCCTTAAACATCTTGATGCATAGTTAAGGGTGTACATTTGTATAACTCCGTACAAACACCTGTAGCAGAGAAAAATAAGAGCGAAGGAAAGACAAAAAGAGAAAGAAAATTAAGCAAGCAAAAAAGCAAGCAAAGGGGGAAAAAGCAAGAAAGAGGACACTCAAGAAGGCAAGAAAGACAGACAAAGAAATAAAATATGAAAGAAAGAAATAACAGACTCAAAAGAAGGCAAAGAAGACAGAAAGCAAGAAGGAAAGAAAGCACAGAAAAAGAAATAAAGAAGAGAGAAAGACAGAGAGCAAGAAAGTCAGAAAAAGAGAGAGGAAAGAAAGAAAGATAGATAGAAAGAAAACAAGAAAGAAATAATATTAACAATAAAAACAATAGGACTCCAGCAGTGAGTGTCGCTGTTTGAACCTCTCATAATCATTAGTCTGATGGTCAGGTGGACACTGTGTCTCTTACAGCACTAGAGGGAGTCAGCATGTTCATGTCTTCATGGTGCATTTAGGGGCCGTCAAAATGGGTTGGAATTTCCAGAGAAGCAAATGGCCCAATAACTTGACAGAACAAGTCAGCTGAACAAGTCTTAGGCCTATAGTGTCAGAAAAGCAGCAATAATAATTAACCTTTATTATATGATTGTAAATCTGGTGTCAGTAATTAGAAGGCCTGCTGTATCTCCAACCTCAGCGTACTTGAATGCACCGTCAAGTTGAGTAACCCAGAAGACGGAGCCTGTGAGTGGGTCTTGAATGCAGCATGAGACTCTGGCAGAGCGGCAGACTTGAGAGTTGCAAACAGTCGGTGCAGGATGGTGTGAACTTCAGTGAGGACCTTGAACCCAACATTTCTCTGACTTTGCTATTATAAATCTCGTTTATCTTACCTGGCTTAGAACTAACATTTGGAGCGTGAACGCAGCATTTGTTTTACCTGCTGATTTTTTTTTCATTATCATTATTTTTATGTGAGTGTCGGTGTGACAGTGAGAGCCGGTTTGACTCAGACATGGCTGAGGTACCGCCACCACAGGCACAGCCGGTCGAAATAGACCCGGAATTTGAGCCTCTCTCTCGCCCGCGGTCCTGCACCTGGCCGCTGCAACGACCGGAGATCATCGACCCGGCCAGCTCCAACACATCCTCCCCGGCCCCGTCGGTGCAGCAGGAGCCGGGAGGCAACACCGAGTTCATCAGCAACCTCGGCTTGTTGGAGGAGGACTACGAGGAGTACGCAGAGCAGAAACCGCCTGTGCCCTGCAATGATTATCAGCCCCACCATCATCACCATCACCGTCTTCAGCAGCTCCCGGGTCCCCAGCTGCCGCCTCAGCAACAGGTGCCTCCTCCTCCTCCTCCGGGTGTCGCACCTTTGGGCAGCTCCGCGCAGAGGAAGAGCAGCTCGTCCCGTCGTAACGCATGGGGGAACATGTCGTACGCTGACCTGATTACCAAGGCCATAGACAGCTCACCTGAGAAGAGGCTGACACTGTCACAGATTTATGACTGGATGGTGAAGAGTGTGCCTTACTTCAAGGATAAAGGGGACAGTAACAGCTCTGCGGGCTGGAAGGTGAGTGTGTGCACGTCAGCATCCAGCTGTGTAGGATGAACCTGAGGTGTAACTATTAACTCCTTTAACGCCATAACAAAAGTAGGAAAAGTGTCATTCATTGCAGTTTGCAGCACATCTGCACAGCACTGTCCTAAACACTCATGACCTGCAGGCAAACTGATCTTCACCAGTGTCTGCACTGATGCACATTTTAGACCTTTTATTATAATGTGCAAAGAGAGCAAAGTCCTATAAATGCTGGAGATTTGTGCCCTTTTTTCAGTAGTTTTTTCATTAGTAGCATGCAGAATAATTTCCTCTGTAGTCCTGCTTAAAAACAGAAATAGATGTTCATATCACCAACTCTCATCTCCATCATATTCTACTGAATAGGGGTGTATTATAGAGAATATAGGGACAGCACATTTTCTCATGTCACAGTAGGACAATGACAGGTGTAAGTATTAAAATTAGTTTTTCTACAAGGGGTAACTGAAAAGTTTTGACCCTCAAGGGAACAAGACATGGCTCTGCTTTGCAGTGCTTTTATTTTTCAACATAATCCCCTTCAAGGGCAACACACTTACTCCAGTAGTGCTGAAGCGCCAACTCTTCACTCCCTGCAACGCTTGAATTCTTGTACCCAGACTGAGGCATATAAAGGGACATTGTCGTGTAAAGTATTGAGTATATCTTGATGGTGATAGTCCTTTGAGATGAAGATATTTGATCACTCCAATTTCTCCATTTTCACCAAATCACTGCAAAAATAAAATGAGTTCCACACATGAACATGCTTACTGATAATAAGGAAAGGTGGTAGATTATAAAAAATATCATCCTCTGGGTTAGGCTCAAAACTTTTCAGTCACCCCTTATGTATCAATAGCACCTGTGTTTTCTAACTACCAGCAGCAAAAGATGTGACATCACTCACTGTGATGTGCTCAGTCCAACATGACTGAGCGGTTTAACCTACAAAGAGAGTTCACCAGCACTTGTCTGACCTCTGCAGATACCATTTTCCCATTCCCATTACAAAATAAGCGTAATTGTAAACAGTTCCTGAGGAAGAAAGTATGTAATTAGATTACAGTTACTTAAAATGTTGGTGATTACAAAGGGCTTGCTGCCATTTTCCCATGTTGGTTTAAAGCTCTGTACTTTTTTTTTTTATTGGACAGCAGTTTACAAAGCAAAACATAAAATATGATAATGTAATTTCTCCTGCTTTTCAATTATTTATTTATTTTTTTTAAATTTTTTTTTTTACAATTTATAAACTTTGTAGAACAATTTTGGAGAGATCAAGTGTACATATAAGCGCCATATGTCTTGAGGGATTTAGGAGATCAAAAAAAAAATAGAATAGCAGTCAATGAGGTTTGCTTGACTAAAAATCATAGGTTTTTGTACAATACCTCCACAAAATCAGGTCGTAAGGGTCTTACATGTTTCACCCAAGCTTTGTACTTTTATTTTTAGACCAATATTGAGTGCACATGATGTGGTGGTGATGGTCATTCAGAGTTATGTAATCAAATTACAAAATAAATGTAATTGTAATCAGTTATTAAGGAAAAATGTGTTATTAAATTACAGTTACTCCCCAAAATATTGGTGATAACAAAGGGCTTACATATATACTTTTTCATCAGAAAACTTATTTGCAGATTAAAACATTCACTCTTTTAGTTTACATCTTTTCGCCATGCAGGATTTTGTCATATTTCTGGACAGTGCGGGTCAGCAAAGTCATTGCGACAAATTTGAGTACAACATTTACGCACTTGTGTTTATCTAGGACTTTTTAACTTTATTGCACAGCGTAAAACATTTGTTAGAAAAGTAATCAACTGTAAGTTACATAGCTCTGATGCAGTAATTAAAATAGTTACTTGTTACAATTCTAACAGGGTATCTAATTATCTGTAATCTACTACATTTCAAAAATAACCTTCCCAACATTGTTAATATGAAAACGAAATCTTTTCTCCCCATTGTGCACAAAGGTTATAAAATGTTCTTTGAACATGCTTTCACAAATGCTGAACGGTTACTTTTGAATTTGGCTGCTGAACTTTGGCATCTTAGTAACCTTTGAAGTTTTGGGGTGGTTTCCTTTGTGAGCGGCAGCACACGCCTCTCTGCTGCATCAGTGAGGAAACGTACAGTTCTGAGGCAGCAGAGGACCTGACTGTAAACATCCCATACATGAGCCTGAGAATATCTCTCAATGCTGGGGCTTCAGCCCTATTACACTAATGTCAACTAGGTGTTTGAGAACAGGGTTTGACTGAGCAGTGGTTGAAATCTGGTTTCACTGAGGGGAATAATGTGCAGGAACACTGTGTGGATCAACACAGATTTCAGATATACCCTCTCTTAAGCAAACCTTTGTTAGTGGGAACAATCCATCCAGTATTATTACCAAACACACTGACTCATGGTCAATACAGCATTTCCACAGTCATGGAAATCCCAGTACAGTCCCGAAATTTGACAGAGTGCAGCTTTCTGGCCTGGAAATGTATTAGAAATATTTAGCACAGGGGAAAAGCGGTAGCCTAATGCCTGTACAAACATGCTAATCCGAGTCTTAACATTGTCTCGCCGGGTGAGGAAGTTACTCAGCCATGATGGATAAAAATTAACTGAGGACAAAAGCAGACAGAAAGCAAAGTGGACGCTAATTAAAACCCGCACACTCTTAACAAGATTTGAATTCATATTTCAGCTCCGCAGCCCTTCCTGTAACCCCTGCATTCCTGTGAGATGTAATTTTGAAGTTATGTCAGGAAATGCCTCTGCGGACCTCAATCAAATATAGTTTCCATTGTTTTAACACCCCCTTGTGAAAAGCTTTATCACAGCTCCTATTATGACTTATGGCTCTGCTAAACCTCCCTTTCCTCCTTTTCTTAGTCTTTCTGCAGTTCTTCAACTACACTTTATGTACAGTAGGAGCACAGGCTGGTGGGAATGATGGCAGTCAGGTTTTTGCAACTGTTTGGAGCTCCCTCTGACAATAACAGGAGGCGACGCAAACAGCTCAATCAGTGTTGGGGAGTGTGTCGGAGGGGAAGGGGCTCGGGAGAAGGGAATGCTGGGAACAACGTCAAACATCCTCCATTCCTGAGCTGTGTGCTCATATCTTTGTGTCCCTGTCTTCTAGAGTTTCCTCAGCGGATGCTACAGCCTGGAGAAAGGGATCGCTGCTCTTTATCCTATCACTTCCTTCTCTGCCCTCTCAGGCCTTCTGTGGAAGGTGTTTGTTCAGTTAGAGTTTGCATAAGAAGCTGGATTTTTTAATACTTACTATTACTTTTTAATTTTATTGATTATAGTCTGCAGTTTTTGATAAATGTCTATGGACAAACCAACACATTCTCACTCTGACCTTGTCACATATTGACGTTCATGGTCATGGACTTTGCACGTCCACATACAACGTGAAAGGTACCCTGTGTGCGTTGGTTGTTGACGTTCTGGGACACCGTGTCAAGGTCTTACATGCATTGCCTTCTTTTAAAATACACTTCTGTTTTTACAGGAAATTTAACGTTTACATACAGTGTCTTTCAAAATAAACGTCTGTACAACACCGCAAATAGAAGTTTTTTTTTCCTTCAACAAACACACATGGTTGGGTTTGGGAAAAAAAGAACAGGGTTTGACTTTAGACTTTTACGGGACGCGAACACCGCTCTTTCAGATGAAAGTCGTGTTTGTTGGACCCATCCACCCACCCCAATCGGACTTTCACCGTCTTAACATTCGTCCTTGTCCCACCTCGTTTCTCTGCTGGGCACCATTAAACTATAACAGCAACCAACTGCGTATCATGCCAATGTTAAAGGATGCCTTTTTCGTTGGTTTCTGATGCCGCAAGTCACTGCCCAAGCGCCGGATTTCGCCGACTTCGGAGTGAGACCGGGCTCAACTAACCATAGGAACAGTCATCTAACTAGAAGTTCAACCAGCCAACAGCCCAGTGTCTTTGACTTGTCTACTGTATTTCTCTAATCTAATTCACCCTGTTGCTCCAGCCTGTTCTTATTCCAAATGAGTAGAAAGATTTATAATTGGCCTTGTTTGCAGTTTGACGTGTCCTGTCAACAGTTTTACAGATATGTCTTTTACAGTTTTGGTCTATGGCAGTGGTTCTAAAATGGTGTGCCATTTCATACCAGTCCAGATGTATTGAGGGATTTTTTTGATAACCGCACATCATTATTGCAATTTTTAACTGGTGCTATACAAAAAGTTATAAATGAATTTTTAATTGACTGTATCAGTATGTTGTGGACACCCATTTCCCAATAAAGAGGCAAACTCTAGCTAAAAAATGTAATTTAATTTAAAAAACCTTCACAGGGAACCTATTTGTCGCCATCGGCACGTGGAAATTATTAGTGTGTGACATATCAAAAGCCCTGATTGGCAGCCAGTGTGAGGGGTGATAACATTTAAAAGGAGAAAGCTGTGAGTGGGACAATGGATCGCTTTATTGTACGGAGCAAATTACAACAAAGCACCACTGACCGACCTACCATCGAAAGAAAAATCAGTCAGTAGACAGTATCACGAAAGCTACCGGTCTTATTTTTATTGTCTTATGTGATGATAAGAGTGATAACACTAGCTATAGTAGCTATTGTGCACAGATATAAATACAGTGCCTTGACATTTTGGCTTGCGCTTTGGTGTGCTTCGGGCACAAAAAGTTTGAAAAACACTGGTCTATGGGGAAAATACTTTTTGGACCGCTGGGGATTTTTTCACTGCAGTACCACGAGTGACCACTGGGCAAAATTGTTGCAAGGCTTGTCGGTGTTCCTGGAGGCCTGGCTATGCTGCATGCATCTGCCCTTGGTTGCTTTGTAATGTCAGCTGATAAAGTAATTTGCAAACGGCAAGCGAGTCAGTATCATGGTCCAAATAAAATATAGGCGCACTGCGTATAGTAACATTATTATAAATATGGCTGTGATTTGTTTTCCAGTCGTCTATCAATA